CCAGTAAAACGGGGAGGGAACGGCCTGTGGCGGTGTGTGCGCATCCCATCTTGTGACTCAACGTATGGAGAAACCTTTTTTTTTTTTTACTAGCTCTTAGCTAGATGTCTGCTACCAGAAGTCTATTAATGCATCAGAAAACGGCACGCGACAACAGCACTTCACCTCAGAGCTGGGCCTGCAGAGCGAGCTGCTCCGCGACACCAGCTCCGTCACAGGCTCAGTGCCCTCGCAGCTCCACAGATCCCGCCAAACACCCTTTCTGATAAAACTCCAGAGCTCGCGGCCGACGGAACTGCTCCACCTGGGAGCAGCAGTTGAAACTCCAGCTTGTCTCTGGAACCAGGCTGCTGCAGCGCTGGCAATGCCAGCACATTGCATACCAGATGAGCGAGTTTTGGCCTTTCAAGTTTAGCTTTTTGGAGGCTTTATACAGCTCACTCACTGGTATTTAAATGTAAAGATAGGTAGGAAGGAAGCTGTAATAGCAATTTCCATTACTGTGGGCTTTTTCCTGAAGTTTTGCCAAAAGTTAATAAACTCAGTATCTTGATTTTACTCTCTAGTTCATATGGCACCTCCCCTTTGATTCTTGTTGACCTGGCACGTTGCCACCTTACATGTGAATGCATCAGTGACTGCACCAATACTGAAACAGACAGGGAGTTGAACCAAGTATTGCTCAAGGCCAAACTCAAGTGGGTTTTTTTGGTTATTTTATTTCCTAAACATGGTGACCATGTAATTAAAATATCAACAGGTCCCTGGCTAAAGTGATGTCTTAACAGATCTACAAAAGAAATTTAATTATGGCTAAAGTAATTTTAGCACATTCCCACATGCCCACCTTTTCTTTTAACACAACTGATGAGTCTTACATAAGCAGATATTGAGAGGTACCTCCCTCATGAAAAAAAAAAAAAGACTGGGAAGAAAGAGGGTAAGAAAAATTATTTCTTTAAAAGAACTGTATTGATATTTTATCAAACATATGCAATATGATCCTCCTTGACATTCCTTTTCTAGAGTATAATTGTGTAGAACAGATTATCTTACCTATCTGCTGGGGAAGTCTGATAAGGACACATTAACATAGACCTGACTAAGCTGCTCTTTCTGAAGCCTAACTCTGGTTTTGGCTCCATGTGTTTTCTCTTTTGTCTGATGAACTTCACTTCTGACTTAAGCTAATGTTAACATGTTCTTCCCCTACTTGATTATATTTAAAAAAAAAAAAAAGTTTAAAGAAATCCAGTGTATCTTACTTGTTAACTTTTCCCATTATTGTGGCAAGTTCAGTGATTAATGACTTACTGGAATAATGTTTTAAAAAAACCAAACCAAAACCACCCCACCCCCCCCCACCACCCCCCCACGGAAAAAAAAAAACAAACCACCACAAAAAGGGACAAGTGTTTGTATGGAAAGGTAGAGGGGAAAAAAGGGAAAGGGATTAGGCAGACAGCAAATTTATTAAAACATAATGCATAAATCTTATTGAAGGCACAAACCTTTGTTACACAAGTTCTTCCTAGAGAAGATTGAATTCAGCTGCTGATGACATTTCAAGGATGCCATACTGTGGTGTTACAGGAATGTCTCTTACGCTAAAGAAGTAATCCCTTTTGGAAGTTGTCTTGAGAAAGTGATTTTATTGGCTGTGATTTATCTTACCAGACAAAAAAGAAATTGCAAGCTAAACATTCTTCCATGTCTGAAACTCATTTGGGGTTGTAAGACACAGCACGTCTAAACCAAATAAACTTGGATATTCTTTCTCAATACCAGTGTTAAGGAGCAAAAGTATTCCTTTCAAGCAACCCAACAGTGTAACCAGGAAAACTGACTTTAATAAAACCAAAATCCTTTCCTTACTGTCAGGTTCAATTTGAAGCCTTCATCTAGTCCCAAAAGAAGACTTGAAGCAATATTAAATAGCTGAAACTTAAGTATTCTCTTAGGATCTTAAAAGTGTTTCACCTGTACTTGGTACTGTGTAAGACAATACCTCTGTATCTGTCTATAGGTTGTTTTTGGTGGTTGTGAAAGACAGAAAATAAGTCATTTGACTACTTTGATTCGTGACAATATGAGATAGTTTATTCTTACTCTTCTAAGTCAACTAACTCATCCTTTGTGCTGTCAATTAGATGAAATAAGTAAAGTTTTCATCCATTTGTTACAGTGATTATTTAGATTCTCAAGAAAGCAAATGAAACATTAGAGAGTAACTTTATGGAAAGATGCATATATATTTATGCACATAACTGCAGCCATAAAGCACATACATTTGGTATTGATATATATGTAAATCTTGTAGTCAGTGCAAATGCCCGTATTTTACCTCAAATTTACTACTTGAAAAAACCAGCTCCACTAACCATACAAGATGATCCTAACTGAAAGGAACAACAGAGCTAAGTCAGAAAAGAGAAAAAGTTATAGGTGTTGGTACTTCAGTGACGAGCACATCTCTGACACTTGGATCTTCCAGCCTGCTCAATTCTTCAATGGCTCCAGAAAATTCTTACATCATTCACAAAAATACATTCCATAAGTATTGGAAGCGATACATGTTGTTTCAGGAGTGGCTGAAATCATGTATTTTCATAAAGTTTCAATATTAGTGAAATAATAGCCTTCTGTTATTCGGGGGGGGGGAGGAAACAACTAGTTTTTTCCTTTATTAGGAAAACGTTTATCTTCTTAAATGTTTCCTATACCTTAAATAGCACTTCCTTCTTTAAATAGGTAGCAATTAAATAAAGTATCAGTATATTTATGAATAACACATTTCAAAAATAATATGAATCTCGAACATCCCTTTCTAATAAAGTGCAAAGATGAAAGATTAAATTTCTCTCAAATAAAAATAGCAAATATAATTAAAAAAAAGATGAATCCAGTTACACAGTATTAATGCGTCTTTTTCTTGACTTTGCGCTTCTTGTATTTTTGGTCACGCTGTCTTTGTCTGATTTTGTCATCCTCGATACTAGTGTCACTGTCACAACTTCGCTGTTCTCTCTTTCTTTTAGAGGTGCTTTCATCCACTTGGTGCACTTCACCATCACTTGACTGTGGCAGGGCCAATTCAAAAGAACTCTGTGCAGACTTAAAATTTGCAGCTTGATTCTGATAGGGAGAAAAGGAAAAATTTGAAGGCAGTGGTGGAGTCATCGGGTAGTAAGGAAATTGTTGACCCATTGGACTTTGTACTGTGTACTGCTGTGCTAAAAAATGGTTCATCTAGAGAAAACGAAACGAGTTGTTAATACTGCAAGGAGGAAGTTCTAAAGAGTTTAATGTTGCATGCATTATGGCTTATACAGTGAAAATACTGATAAATTATAACAACTTTTGAGAAGGAAACTTAGGTATTTTATTACATCAACTAGTATAATTGGAAAAAGTAGACACATTTTTCAAGGCAAAGTTAGAAAAGTAATCTGATTTTAGATTAAACTGAGAGTCGGTCCTTGTGTAAGGTAATCAAACACAGCATTCTTCATCCTTTCTTCATCCACCTGTTTTATAAATATTTGTAACTGCAGTGCCTATTGTCAGTGTAGACATATACATCTGCTTTTTTTTTTCTTTTTTAACCTGGTTTAACTAAGGTTTCCAAGTTAAGGTGGAATAAGCTATCCCAACAAGGTATAGTGAATCCATAGATCACTAGGAACAATGCCTAAGTGCCCAGTTTACAGCTATAGTCCCTGAAGTATCCAGAGTCCCTCTCATACAAAATGCACAGCCCAAATACAGATAGAGAATTACAAAGGTCAGAAAGGAGCAGCTTTCTACTAACTGGCAGTAACCAGAAAAATTATGGGGAGCATGTCTGAGTACGTTATACGTACAGGCACACCCCAAGCAAGTAACCTGCCTGGCTTATCCAAATAAAGGTGAGGTGGCTGTGTGAAGGCGTATGCGTGAGAGCGCTTCCTGATAAACCTGCAACAAACTATCATTGGAGACTCACTGCAACACCAACCCTTCTAGCAAGCAGAAAACGGGATGAAGTTGGTTGTGTCTGTTGCTCTGCTGACTTTGGTCTCTCAGTGTTTGAGTACCGCTTTGTTACCGAGGAGTGGGCTCATCGGTAAGCACTGCGGTACACTCCAGGGCCTTCCAACCACAGTGGGGGGAATGGGAAAGTTTGTGTAAGCACTAGCTCTTCTGAGGGACAAGGGGAGGCAGGCCACTACATCTGTGCAACAGGGAAAGACTCTATTTTCCTGCTCAGACTGCAGCTAGCAAGAGCAATCTATCCAGGCTTCATTCCTACAGTTACAAAGGGCTGGCCATTCCCCAGTCAGGCTGGGAGGCAGCAGCACCGTCCAGTCGGTACCTCACATTAAATGCTGGGTTTCTTTAGCCCTGCCAATCCATACTCATGAGATACAGAAGCTCCATGATGTGTTTGGTGAGGAGGGTTTGGCCCACAGGTCCAGGTCCTTTGCCTCGTGGAGTATCTCAGACAAAAGATAAGAGGATAAGAATGGCCCAGTGCACCAAAATCTGTTAGAGGGAAGCGGAATGGGTCCTCACTGGCTACTGCTATGAAAATAATTCGTGAATGTGAGAACTGCAGGGGCATGTAAAGGTTCAGGCCAGAAACCCTCAAACTGTTGTTGCCCTAACTTGGGCAGTGGTTATTTGTTGGGTGATTTTTAGGACATTTCCAACTTCTGCTGGGCATTTCTGCATTGAGTAGAAAGGATATGAGGTTCCCTGACTGAATTAGTTGTACTCAAATAAGCTATTGCTTGTGTGGTTGAAATTTTACTAGGTTAGCTTGTCTCACCAAGGGAATTTGATTTGGAACGCAGTACAGGAGAGAGCTCTGTCTGTAGCCTTTGACATTTTTAGCCTCCCTAAGCTATAAACCTTTAAGACATTCCTGCAGTAAGAAATGGTTTGGTAGATCCCCTGTTATTATGCTACCCTTAAGTGCTAAAATAAATAAACCTAATACCATCAAAGTTAGCACATTTTGCAACAAATAAGCACTGTTGTTTGAAGAAATGCAGAATACATTCAACCTCATAGAAAAGCTCCCAAATTTTTAACTTTTAACACAAACTCACCATCTTTTGAAAGCCTGAGTATTCATGAGGTAAACTATTGTTCATTGGAAAAGGAGTAACAGGAAATGGAGGATTTCCATAAGGCTCTTGATACCTAGGAAAAACAAGCAAACGCACAGAGACTCGATGTCTACCACATACTGCTTACCAAAGTGCTGAGACTTAACTCTTGGGCTATAATGAGCATATGCAAGAGGAGAATTGAGAAATTAACAACTGGACTTTCATGACAAAAAAGATAAAATAACCTAAAGGCTCAATTAATGAGTAATCCTCACATGTACCTAAGTGCAGACACAAGAGGGTTCTGGATTTCACCATGGGAATTTAGCTTCCACAAAGAGTTCTGTCACATTTGTAAATAAACATGTTGAAAAATTCTGAATCTGGGGTATTCAGGGTTCCATTAAACAGGTTTATACTTCTGCATTCTTATGTGCATGACAGCTGCTTGTACATATACACACAAAAACCAGATATAAACTCAGTGGTGTTTAAAAAGATTTTTTCCATTGTCAGATTTTTCCCCTAACAACTTCAAACGTTGTTAGTACAAACACTGCATTTCAGTATTTTCTCATGGTCCTGTATCTTGCAGAAACAAATAAAGAATGTAAAATTCAAGCTAACTGAACCTCTGGCAAGCTAAACAACCAAATGTTAAAATTAACTACAGCCCGTTGCAAATCATCAGTAAGGATACAACAGCTGTTGTAATGAACAGCCTAAGATTAATCTACCACATCAACTAATTTTCTTAATAAGATTTTAAACCAAATTATAATTATACAGTTCATTCAAAGATATCTTTGTTACCTATATGAAGGTGAATATAAGTCAATATAGTTCTCAAAACCATGTGTAGGGCTGTTTAGTTCTGGTGAGTGAGAACTCCCTGTAAATAAGACAAGAGCATAATGACTGTTCAGTTGCAACTATTCAATTAACAAGTTAAAAACACAGAAAGCGTTCTGTGTCATCATCTGTAGTGTGCTAGCCTATCTAAGGTAGTACATAAAGTGCCATTTTATGGCAGATAATCTACAGCATCATTTTACTGCTTGAAAACGTTCATTTATCTTTCAATCACTTTCAGAAGCATAAATTGGGGCTGTTGAAGTAATCAAGAAGAGACTAACTCCCATTCAGTTACAGACGCAGGAGATACTTCTGATTTTAGGAACCTGAGCCATTCGACTTAAACCCAGCACCTGCTCTGTACAGCCTTTGAAGTGGCAGTGTGTAGTGGGAACATGAGTTTTTAACATTTGGGTTGCAGATGCTGCCTGAGCATTAGCTTTCTAGGTTTATTTTTGTAAACATAAAATGAAGAATGCGACTCTGATTTGACTATATTCTTTCAGCTACAATCTCTTCCACTTAAAACAACAGCTCTGATAACGCATTTTATGGTTTAGCATAAAAACTAGCAAACAGCGGGATAGTTGCTCCACTTAATCAACTTTTCCTGCTAGACTACAAGTTAAAGTCACACCCTGATTCCTGAAAGTAATCTGGCACAAAAGCTTGGGTGGCTATGTGTTCCAGTGTGGTATGAGCTGGCTTACAAGTTCTGCTGTTCTGAACCAACCTATTGTATTCTCTTAGTAGAAAAAACAAAACAAAACAAAAACAAAAACCAAAGACTGAATCCTTCCCTATGCAAAAGCCATAAGAAGTTTTTGTTTCTTAAAAAAATGTAATTTGTTCCATGGATAAATTGTCATCTTTGTAAAAGACTGCAGGAGTCAAAAACAGACAATGAAAATGAATTTACAAAGACTTAATCAAGACTACTCAACGTACCAAACCGATACTGCACTTTAATTGGTCTTCCATACAAACGGATTCCATTCAGCAAAGCTATTGCATAAGGCACTGATTCTTTGTGCTTAAAGCAGACAAATCCAAAAGACTTGGGTTTTCCTTCTTTGTCCTTACAAATCGTCACTTTGGTTAATGGTCCAGCCTGAAAGAAATTTGTGTTATCTTCCTACAGAAATTAAGAGATTTACACTTCATTCTGTTCTGATTATTTCATAATGATGTATATTTTGCCATAGTCAGTGCAGGTTTCTCAGTATAAAAATCTCTACTTAATTTTGAAAATACCTCTCCGCGTTCCCCAAGATCAAATTCTAAGCCTTACAAAAATAAGCTCCACAAATGTTAAAATGAAACCAAGCATCACTCCATGGGTGATGTTTAGTTTTTAATAATCAGATTTTAAAAATTATTTAAAAAATTATGATAGCTGCTACGTGGGGGAAGACTAAGATAATGACTCCATAGCAAGTTACCTTATGCATGTACAGCAGTTTGTACAATTAGAAGTTTTTTGTACAGCTAACATGACTAGCAGATTGATGACATCAGCCATGTAAAAGTGACCTACTCCATTAATATGCTTCTATTTTTCTCTTGCTTAAATTCCTACAACGGGCAGTGTCAACACTTTGGGAAAGCAAACCTGAATGGAGTGCAGTGCTTCTGGAACCACCACAAACCAGAGTTTTCTGTACTGCCTAGCCCTCATCACAAATGCATGGCAAGGAATCAAGAGGCAGTATCATCTCATCAGAGATAACATGCTGTTTCTTCCCCGCTCCCCACCCCCCACCCCCCCAAAAAAACCAACCCAAACACCAAAACCCCAAACCACACCCTTTGGCTGAAATATCTTCATTGAAAAGTTCCATTTTGGCCTACATAAACCATTTTAATCCTTGCATAGTACTTCTAAAACCAAATTAAAGCAGTGATATTCCATAAATACTGGTTCTGTTTTCAAAGAAACTGTCAATTTCATAACTGATATTAAAGATGATGAATTCTCTCTACACAAGATGAAACTGGTGTATTAGTCACCAAATCAACATCAAAACAAACTACATGTCTGTATGGCTGATTTAGCAGCGTGAAAAGAAGGGGCCAACAGCAGTCTCCCACCACAGCTCAAGGGTGTTAAGGATGCAGACACTTATCTTTAGGAGGATATAATATCCAGGCGAGCAGTGAACACGTTACAAAAAAATCCATCAGTAAAAAATTTACTGATTGTCTGAATTACTGAAGTAGATGGAGATTCACTGCTCTGCATCAAAAAAATCAGCACTCATACGTAGAACTGGCTTCCACCACTACTGACAGAATAGGTACGCTCAGGAGTCACCTGTAGCTTCAGGCAAGCACAGATTAACTTGTAACAGCTTTACAGCAATTAAACTGCATAAACAGTTAAAACATTCAGAACAAACACACCACATATGCTCAGATGAATAAGCCACAGAAAGGGATCTACTTTATTATTCTGCATTTTCAACAATTACTGTCAAACAACAAATCCGCGACTTGTCTGCTGTGAGCATTTAGAGCAATGATGTGGAGCATCTCCCCCCCGTTACACCCTCCATGTTGTCAGACTGAAGATACTAAGGGTCATCGTATGTGATAATAATGCCTGATTGCTGTATGCTTTTGCCAGCCCTGTATAAACTAAAACTCAATTAAGTAAGATTCTTTTGCTGAAAAATGAAATGCCCCCAATCCCCAGCCCTGGTGAAAGTAGGGAGGTCATACAGACAAAGGATCACAGATAATGTACCATTTTTTATTATTGGTGCAGAGGGTGACCAGGCTGTACAGCAGTGGATACTACCTAGGTTGTCCTGTGCAGGGAGTCTTCAAAATGTTGATCTTGTCTTTCCAAGTATCTTGAAGTTTGCTGGGTTTGTTTGGGTTTTTGCTTTGGGGTTTTTTTTTTTTGGGTGGGGGGGTGTTATTTGTTTTTTAAAGAAGGGATTTCGGTAAGACTCTGAACATGCTTATTTTTGCTTGAGTTGGCAACTTAAGGCATTTTTGTTCTTGTCCTGCACTATGCTGCCGTTTTTGAAAAAAAAAAAAAAAAGAATACCCACATATATCCAGTCTTCTGATTGTTATTTGCCTAATGAGGAGGATATGGTTCTTCAAGAACTAGAAGCAAGAAACTCAAGTCCTCTGCAGATCAGTCTTTTAAATATGTAGTCTTCCTGTTCGTAAATAAAAATATTAATAGTTTAAAAGTAATAACAGATAATTGCTCGTAATTTGACCGGGGAAAAGCTACAGGTCAGGAGTGCATCCTTACGACTGTGGCACA